AACTCGCCTGGGCGAGTCGTTTTCTTATTACCTGAATAAGTCCTTTTCTTATCGCTTGAGGCGATATTTGGAATAATTTTATTCTTTTTAATACTTCATTTATTTTTTTGTATACCAAATTGCAACTTACAATCGGTATTAATTCATTTTCTCGCTGTGAGGCTTCCTATTTTTTCAATCTTGTCCTTGGGCATAATTTAGATGCTTTTGGCCAATACTATTGACGCCATATTCATAAGTTTCGGAATTTTTGAGAACTTTTTTATTCAAAATTGACATGAATGAAGTGATGTTGCCGATTTGTCATCACAGCAATAAATCGGTGAGTCGCCAAATTGTTGCCATTGACGATTGTTGCCTATTTCTCATGTTTTGCATGGTGGGAAGTGAGAAATTTGTATTCTATGCATGGGCTCATGTGTTCATTAAATGAATCCTCAAACATAAAGCCCCTGGAACATGCTCGACATTTACGTTCTTTACAATTTTCAGGTATATTTATTGTAATAGCATCCCGCAACTCGTCAATGTCCATAATATCATCTTCTTCGAAATTCTTTTCTTTGCATGAAAAAATGTTGTGCTTCGGTGTGATTTCACTTGCCTCATTTTCATCACTCGATGTTGCTGATGGAAACTCTTCTTCAGCATAAGGACCACCACTGGCTATGTCAAATTCTAAACCGGCGCCGTCATTTCTGCGATTACGAGCTTGTAAACCGGAATTCGAGTCTTTATTGAAAAGTAAATTTAGATATCGTAACTGCTGTTCGATATTTTGTTGCGCCGATGCATTGGCTTGAAAGTTGTTATTTAGCAATTGTTTACAAACTTTATCTTGATCTTGGGATATATTACTGCTAAGCAGATTAGTGTCTACGTGTCGTTCATATGTAAAATTCAAGTCTTGCTCAGTTACTAAAACGTTTTCTTTATCTAAATTTCTTTTGTTGGAATTGTTCTTTTGGCTTTGTTGTCGCATCTGGGCTATGGCTTTTAAAGTCAAAGCGTTGTTAATGCATTGTTCACGAAAAAATACTGCATATTTCAGGTAGGAAATGCAAAGTGCACAGATCTTATTTGGCAAACCATCATTTTCGGAGCACTACATCAAATGAAAATGTACTTATTTTTTATTAGGGCAATACAAATCATTTACTTTTTTTTTTGTCAATGCAGAAGTACTCTTACCTTCAGCCCTGTTGTCTCTTCCAGAAATACATTTACGTTTTTCTGGCAATTCAGAAACTCATTGGAACTGGCATGCAGATACGCTGGTATCTTCTCAAAAATTTCATATTCCGCAGGACTGGTACATACACGACAAATACTATTCCAGCTTGACATTTCCACTTAAAAATATTTTATTTTTGTGTATTATTTCGAGTGATTATGATTGCAGCGTGCGAACAGCATTTGCAGTTTTTGGTCTAAATAATTTCCATAAAATTACAATACAAATACACCCAAGAAAAGTGCAAAAATCGTAGAGTAAGGCCCTGTGCCAAGGCACATTAAACAGGTGGTATCAGTAGAGCAAAAACAACATTTGCGTGTATTTTGTTGTTGCTTCTGGTATCGAAAGTGTCAAAAACTGTTCTGAATTTTTTCTTCTAAATCAAAGCGTGCCATGCGAAATACAAAAAATTATAAAAAATAAAAAATTGAAATTGGAAAAAATAAAAATTTTTGCAACTTTCTTTCCTAGTAAATTTGTTTGCTTCTCGAAGCATTGATCCATCCTTTACAAGGGCCAGTAATCAGCGGTTGTGCTGCTGAGTTGGGCGAACGTTCCAAAAGCTGCTATTCAATCGCTTGTTTTGTATGGAAAAAGGTTTCACATGCAAATGGATTTTAAC